AAAAAAAACAAAAAAAACTAATACGGGAGGACGGCGGGAGAGAAGAGTAAAATACGGGACTTTCCCGGCCAAAGCGGGATACTTGACAGGTATGGTTCGGTGTTGGCACCGGCTTCGACGGCCCTGTACAGGGTTGGCCCGGTGCCGCATCGTTTTGTTTTGTTTGGCCGACCTGCCAGGTCCACCAGTGAGTTGAAACTTTGCTTATTTTTGGGGCACAGGGTGATTTTTTTTTTAATTATTAAAATAAAAAAAGAAAGTAAGTGATAAAGTCCAAAAGACCCAACCTTCGTTTCCTGTGTTCCCTTTTGAAATATGTTTTTCCCTTCTTTGGGCCGTAACAATCTGCAAAGACAATAATAATTTTCACAAATGAAAAACATAGGATGAGCTTCATAACATTGAAATTTGTGAATCATTTTTTTGTTTGTAAATAAAATAAAAAAAGGATCTGCATTTCACACATGCACAGAGTTTTGGGACAAGTATTCCTCAAGTCTAATGGAAAATCAACCAAGGTCACTCACAGGTTTACGGTTCGACAGCGTTTTTCTCAAATCATTCCGTTCACTTTTCCACAGACGAAGTGAATCATGTCTTCTGCAAGAAACGCCTCATTCCAAAATACAGACATTTGCATGTGTCAGGTTTGATAATATTTTAGGTATTCTGAGTTGCACAGCACTCAAGACCTCATCATGGAGATGTTTAATAGGCTGCCCTCTTCAGCCTCCATGACCAGGAGAGTGCTGGTTTACCAAATCAGAGCTGCCAACAGGCAACTTAAAACATCAGCACATCATCACTGATAAGTTCATTACTTTCTACTTGGACTCCACTATATTTCAGAGGAAAATATTGTACCTCAAGTCACTTGAAGAAATAAAAGGAAAAAACATAAAGGATGAGTCGGCTGGATTTCTGCCAACTGAGGAAGCAGTAGAAGGCCACTGTTGCTGGGAAGCTGCTTGAAAAGTGTCCTTGTGCCTTTACCTTTCATACTCAAGCAGAAATTTACACACAAGTGAAAAACCACGTAAAATACATAGAACAATGAACAATGAACCCACACTACATAGTCATAGAAACATAGTAAATTAACAAATGCATATTAATTATAACTGACAATTTAAAAAAACAAAAAAACAAAAAACTCATAGACAGACTGTTTAGTTTACCTGTCAGTGACTATAATGTGGTGACTGATTGGTGTATGTAAAGGGATAGAGGAATATGAAGTATGCACAGTAGTTATGTAGAGATACCCTATGTCGCAAATGAGTGGTATTAAGAACATAAACAGTGTGTCTTGTGTTTATTGCTACACAAGGATTACCGATCCAATACCACCTCTAAACATCTGTCAGATGGAACCCAGAAAGACGACTTTTGACATGATGTCAGTGTCAGCCTCATTTGGTAACAACATTTACCCTAACCTTCAATTTGGTGCACATCATTGTGGTGAACTTAGAGGCAAGAATCTTCTCTATTTTTGCATCCTACAAAAAAAAAAAAAAGTGGTGTAAAATGTGGTGCAAAAAGAAATATAAATTTTAGTGAAAATTTTTGTGAGAGGCAGTGAAATAATCACAGTGAAAACAACACATCCTTTTTTGATTTATTAAAAGAATGAAAATGCGAATGAATGAGCTCATATACAAAAGTGTATTCAAGAGGTCTGACAAGGAGTGGTGCAAGATGATATCAAATGATAGCACTTTTGAACACAGCGTGATAAGGGAGTGTGCGTCTGCTGACTGTAGCATGGGCTCAGTGGATAGTTAGCAGGTACACATTGGTCTAAAACACTGTTGCACATAAGCACTGACTCTACCATATATGGATATTCAGATTTTGCACATGCATAAACAAAAACAAAACATTTTATCTTCATTTTTGCTGTTCTATGTAAGCTTTTAAAAACCCACCTCAGGCATTTGTACAAAATTTTATTCCTTCTCTGTTGCTCTGTTATTGCTCTTTTTAAGATTGCATGTTTGTTTGTTTTTTTGGTGTGGTTCAACAGAATTATTTTAAAAAATAAACTCACGAAACAGGCTTGGGCAAAAATGATGGTACCCTTAACTTAATATTTTGTTGCACAACCTTTTGAGGCAATTACTATAATCAAACGATTTCTGTAACTGTCAATGAGACTTCTGCACCTCTCAGTAGGTATTCTGGCCCACTCCTCATAAGCAGACTGCTCCAGCTGTCTCAGGTTTGAAGGGTGCCTTCTACAGACGGCATGTTTCAGCTCCTTCCACAGATGTTCAATAGAATTTAGATCAGGGCTCATAGAAGGCCACTTTAGAATAGTCCAGTTTTTTCCTCTGAGCCATTTCTGGGTGTTTTTTAGCTGTGTGTTTTGGGTCATTATCCTGTTGCAAGACCCATGACCGGCGGCTGAGACTAAGCTTTCTGGCACTGCGCAGCACATTTCTCTCTGGAATACCTTGATAGTCGTGAGATTTCATTGTCCCCTGCACATATTCAAGAAGCCCCAGAACTTAACAAAGCCTCCTCCATGTTTCACAGTAGCAACGGTGTTCTTTTCTTGAAATGATTCTTTTTTGTGTCTGTGAACATAGAGCTGATGTGCCTTGCCAAAAAGTTCCAGTTTTGTCTCGTGTGTCCATAGGGCATTCTCCCAGAAGCTTTGTGGCTTGTCAACATGCAGTTTGGCAAATTCCAGTCTGGCTTTTTTATGATTTGTTTTCAACAATGGTGTCCTCCTTGGTCGTCTCCCATGAAGTCCACTTTGGCTCAAACAATGACGGATGGTGCGATCTGACACTGATGTACTTTGACCTTGGAGTTCACCTTTAATGTCTTTAGAGCTTGTTCTGGGCTCTTTTGCTACCATTCATATTGTCCTTCTCTTCGATTTGTCATCAATTTTCCTCCTGTGGCCACGTCCAGGGAGGTTGACTACAGTCCCATGGAGCTTAAATTTCTCAATAATATGTGTAACTGTGGTCACAGGAACATCAAGCTGCTTGGAGATGGTCTTATAGCCTTTAACATACTTACCATACATGCTTGTCTATAATTTTCTTTCTAATCTCCTGAGACAACTCTCTCCTTCGCTTCCTCTGGTCCATGTGTAGTGTGGTACACACCATGTCACCAAACAGCACAGTGACTACGTGTAACCCTATAAATAAGCTGACTGAATGACTACAAGTTCGTAGGCACCTGTGATGCTAATTAGAGGACACACCTTGATTGAACATGTCCCTATGGCCACATTATTTTTGGCCTTTTCTAGGGGTACCATCACTTTGTCCAGGCCTGTTTCATGAGTTTATTTTTTAAAATAATTCTGTTGAACTACGGTTCAAAAGCAATGTCTGATTTTCATTAACTAATTTTCATGGAATTTTTATTTGTTATTCCTTTTGTTAGATTCAAGTTATTTCTGTGACCGTTGTGGGTTTTTCTTTCATTAACCGAGGGGTACCAACAATTTTGTTCACGTGTACTTCAGTTAAAGATCTGAATACTTCTTCCAGCACTGAGGAACAACAATAGTCAACAATTGAGTGCCCATTTGAGCATTAAAATGGATTTTTCTTGCTGTAATCTTGGAATAGACAGAATATTGGCCTAGTCGATTATCAGAATTGATCATCATTATTTTTCCAAAAATCTGTATTTTTATTTTTACTAATTTTTCTTAATTTTTCTTAATTTTCTTAATTTTTCTTAATTTTCTCAATACACTGATTAAAATTTCTGAACATGTTGGACATTGTTGATCAGTGGTTCCCAAAGAGCAAAATGCCAAATGTCTTGTTTTGTCCACAACTCACAGGTATTCAGTTTACTGTCATAGAAGACCAGGAACTGAAATCAGAGAATTTAGAGGGTTTGTCTTCTTTAAAAAAAAAAAAAAAGATTGTCAAAATAGTTGGTGGCCAGTTAAACAGCTCAAATCAACAGTGAGGTACAAATGCTGATCAGTCATCTTTTGATTAAACATATAAAACGTAAATAGCCAAAGGCATTTTGACAAAAGTTTGTGTTGGAGTTTGTGAATTTTAACACCAGAAAGTTAATTATCATTTCAAATTATATCAGCTCTAATAGTCGGTTTTAAAATCCACCCAGAGCAAACTTACTTTAAACCTCATAGAGCACTCTAACAGGACTCAGGTTTTCAGATGGCTGACTTCTTATGGCACTGGAACAGCTGATGAGACTAGCTGCAGTGGAGTTATCGGTCCGCCAGATGGCAGGATTCACCACCTGTGAGTTAAATACACACCTGGTTGCCTCCGTACGAAAACTGCCAAACATTCATTTTAGGCAAACTTTACAGGGTCATATACCCACATAGGATAGGTGGCTGTGATACATTTTGCTACCAGTTTCATTTCTCTTTGTTGTTTATTTTTTTCTTTTTCTTTTTTGCTTCAGTAATACAACTCATTGTCACTGAAGGAGGTCACTGAACGCTGATCTGTAAATAAAGGCTGAATGAGAAAATGTCCCCTAAAGTTGAACCTGTAGAGATTCATTCTGCAAAGCTTCTATCACATCTTTTTCTTTATTTTTCTTTCCTCTTTTTTCATCGTGAAAACGTGTTAGTCAACTTTTTTGTAAGCACAAACAAATAAATCCCTGCAAACATTTAAAAACTATCTCTCCTGGTTATTATTCCTTTTGTTTCTAATTTTCTGCCTACCTCTCTCAGTAAATCCATCACTCCTGCACAGTTTGTTTTCCGTAAATAAAGGTGACAGGAGCTGTGCAGTGCTTGTTCCGCCTCTGTGACGGGGGAGTGTCGTGTGCTTAAGAGTATGCTGACACACAATAAGAGCTGCGTCTCCATTCATTACTGAGCCACAGGGTTAGACACAGGTTAGACAGCACGCCTCATTACTCAACCTCCATCTGCTGAAACACTGCTGATTAGTTCTGAGTTCATTACATGAAGGCCGGGCATCCTGCAGTTCTGGATTAATAGACAAGGACACTTATACAGCTGCTACATGGAGATTGAAAGCCTTGTGGCAAACAGTGCTCTGGTTAGAGCCAGAGAAGGTAAGAGGCTGTTTGCAGATAATTCCATAGAGTTTAAAAAAAGTTCATGAAATGTTGGTGATATTAGTCTTTTATGAAGGCAGATACCAGATGTCAACATTATTATTTATGAATCTTTCTCTCTCTCTCTCTCTCTATATATATATATATATATATATATATATATATATATATATATATATACATATGAATAAATGAGAGGTGCATTTTAACATGACTTGCATGTGGTTATAGTTCAATTTGCAGGCTTTCTTTGCGACATAATGTTTGTGAGAAGCAGTGTTTTGGGTGGGTAATCTCAGGTCAGTGACCTCTAAGCCACATTGTGTTAAAGGGGGAAGAATGATGAAACAGTTGGCTGGACTGGTTTCAATTTTCCAGGTGTCCAGCTTCACTATTTCATCTTCTGGGAGTCTTTTCAAAAAGACTCCTATTGAAATAATAAATTTCTCACCTTGAATATTCAGTACAGTGAGTTGTGTGAATATGTCGACGCAAACTTTGAGTGACGTTTCAGTTTGAAAGTAAGTTGCAGAGTAATGTGGTCCCACAGGCTTTGCTTACCTGTTCCTGGAGCTATTTATAGTCCATTCACTGTAGTGGAGCAGGCTATTGTCTGAAACCTGACGGGCCAGGCATGCACGTACGCGTGCGTGTTTATGACACACTGCTGATAGGCATGAGAGTTATTCATCATCATGTTGGCTGTTTATTCTCACGAATAGTTTAATCTGTGTGTCCCTGCAGGTGGAGGGAGTAAAGGCAAGAGCTGGAAATGGAGAGAGATGCTTCGCTTCCCCCACATTAGTCAGTGTCAAGATCTAGCCATGGAGATAGGTGAGTGTGTTTAATGAGTCGAAACGTGTCGTGGTTTGTTGTGTGGTTACACATCTTGTTGTATTTCTTCCTTCAGAGCGAGACTACTACAGTCTGTGTGTGAAGCAGCCGATTGGAAAGAAGCTGTTTCAGCTCTTCTGTCGCAGTCGGCCTGATCTGCAGCCCTACATGTCTCTGCAGGATGCTCTGGTATGCTTGTCTGTGAAGATTCTCAGTCATCCAGGTCATGGTTATTCTGGTAGATTAATCATAGCAACTGGACTTGCTTGAGTTTGTTGAAGACATGTCACCTCTCACCCAAGAGGCTTCATCAGTTCTGACTGACTAGTTGGGAGATTCAGATACTTATATCCTAAGGAGCCATTAACACCTGAGTTTTGGTTTTCAATTGGGGGTTGTTGCTCTTCCCCCTCATTCTGTGAGTCATGATCATATGAGTCATATGTGAGTGCTCTCCCTGTCACAAAGGGGTTCGTTAAGGTGTTTTGTGGCGAGGTGTGAATGCAGTTTCATCTTCCTGGGGAGAGATCTTAGGACTGAATTGTAAACCAGTGAGAGATGATGTCTCAGACCTCCACCTCTGTTGAGGGATGGTCTTTCCAATTTGACATAGATGGCTTCTTTCAACCCTCTCTCAAACCATCTGTTCTCTCTGGCCAAGATCTGTATGTTGTTGCCTTCAAATGAGTGTCCTTTGTCCTTGAGATGCAGGTGGACTGCTGAGTCCTGTCCTCCACAAGCGCATGGCTCAACATAGAAGAGCCACCTCCTCAGGCGTCAAATTATTAAACTGTGGTTGTATCAGCAGCTTCAGCGAAAACCTGCAGTGGGGGTCAGCCATGTCGCCGTGAGGCAGATGATGTTGTAGTCTCTTGCGTCCCTCTGGTACCTGATTCTGGCTCTGAGCTCGTCCAGCTTGTTGTCCAGGGTCTGGAAGTTCGCAAGCAGGATGCTAGGTAGTGGTGGTTGGTGTGCTCGTAGCCTCAACCTGTTCCGAATCCCAGCACGTTTCCTCTGGGGCCTGTTATGCTGCCGACGTCCGTGTCGTTGTTGTTGTTGGGGGGCCTCTCACTGGGCCAGGACACATCGGCAGAAAAACTGTTGTACTGTGGTTATAAGCCAATATTCACCAGTGTGTCTCTGTCGTATTTGTGGCGACGAGGACACAGCATGGTGAACACCATGCAAAAAGATAAATTAAAGCAAAAAGATAAATAAAAATAATAAAAAAAAGTTGCATGATATGAACAGTGCACCTCTGAGGTCTGCAAAATCCCCTGTTGGAGACAGTTATTACATAAAATGCTGTTCCTTTGGGACAGTTTTTATTAGATCGGTAGGAAATATGGGGAAAGAGAGCAAGGGAATTGAGCTGGGATTTGAGCAACTTTTAGCTCATTAAACCTTCTTTAAAATGTGTCATGTTGAGAACATGTAATTGAGAACTGTATTATTTTAACCAATGCTCTGATCAGGCATTGCAGGAGAAGCTTTTTAATTTCTGTTTTTTGAGAGCGCCTCATACAGTCTGTAACGCTATATGAGCAGGGCCTGAACTTTTAAACATGATCTTGTTGCCTCAGCTACATTTCTGAATCCCAATAACAAGCAGCAGTAAAGATAGATTTTAGTGTATGCGATGTTAAAAAAAAAAAATAGCCACCATGTGATACAAGATTAACCTGTACAGGAAATATTCGTTCAAAAAAGGTAAAATTACAAAACCTGGTTATACACCAAGCTGCATTTTTTTCTATTGAGTAATGTTTAAAAGTAGTATAATAATTTTCACAGTCTATGATTGCTTCATTTGTGCATTTTGCAGCTTGTGCTCAAATGAAGAAGTAAAAACTGAGGAAGTGGACCCACATGTGGGTTGATGCTAAGAAGCAAGAACAAGTTGTACAACTGACATGTTTTCTTTTGGTCCACGGCATCTGGTATTGATCAGATTCGTGGTGTGCACAGTCTAATGTTGTAGCTACAGCAGAATTCCGTAATGTTTTTTCCAATATTTTTGCATGGGAATGATTAATAGGGACAAAAATGTTTGATATCATACCAGTACTGAGTAAGAACACTATAACCATGAAACAGCTGAACTTTAATCCAATGGGGTATTTGTATGTACTCCAGGAGTGATTTTGCCATTTCTTTGCCATACTGATGTTTAGGGTAAACCGAGGTAAGCAGTGCCCAACGATAATTCTCCTCCTGACCATTAGATGCAGTCAGTTTTCATTTCACATCCTTTTATATAATCATAGTGATTTTGTTCATCTTTAAATAGCAATGAAATCATTGTAATGGTGTGAGGAAATCAAAAGAAGTAACAAAAAAAATAACAAAACTTTTTTTTTTCTGTAATATGTAAAAACATTAGAGTAGGACTTTTGAGGGAACACTCATTCAATATATTCAGAGTTTCATTCCATATATTCAGACTTTCATTCCATATATTCAGACTTTCATTCCATATATATAATTTCCCAAACGGCATGCCATATATATATATATATGCCAGCAATTTTTTAAAAATATAGTAATAACATAGTAAAGTTATAACTTTATATACTTTATATATAATAACACTGTAATTTGTTCACTTAAGCATACTTCTTGTGCACATATTACAATGATATTCAATCTATATATTTTCAAAAGAAAACATATTTTTCTTAAGGTAGATCTTTCACCGGTTTACCCTACTGACACAATGTCAGCAAAATAACTTCAGTTAATTGCATTAGCTCCACTCTGCCAGGGCTCTCTGCTCTTAAAACTGCATTTTTCTTCTTCTTTTCGTCTTTGCTTTTGCATTTCTTCTCGTTGATGTAAACAGTCATGTTGGAATCTGTAATCAGAGATTTCATCCAGGCTGAGGAAATATTTTCCATGTCGTTTTTCTGCGTCTCACCTCCAGCAAGATTTTAGAGTGAGATTTCTTTTCCCTGATGAATAAATCCATAATGTTCTGACTAGGCCTGCACAATTTTACAATATTTAGTTTTGTTTTTCTGTGTGTGTGCAGAATAGAAATACAAAAACAGATTATAAAAAAGCTATAAAAAAATAGAGAGAGAGAGAGAGAGAGAGAGAGAGAGAGAGAGAGAGAGAGAAAGTTATTTATTTGGAGTAACAGTGGCAAACATATCTGAAATAGTTTCTTACTTTGAATGGCATCTTCAATAGAGCTTAGTGGTGCTGACTAAAATGGATTTATTATTGCAACCAAATTTTACTTGTCAGTGTTTCTTCCCTGTTCTTTGCTCATTTTGCTGTACATTTGTGGATTCCACATGTCCACAAAGTTTGTGTCTCTTTAAACAATCTTTGTCATTAAGCTATGGGTTTTTGCTACAACACTAAATTAGTTTGGTTATTCTCCATAATTAATGACACTGACATGTGTTATAGTCAGGTCAATAGTATTTAGTCGAGAGCACTTTGGTGCAACAGGTTTGGTTTTAAATGTGTTTTATAAATAATGTTAACTTGACTGTGTAAACTGTTTACAGGGCTGACCCCCCTTATGCTCTCCTCGCTGTATCCTTTAGGACACTTTTGAGACAAAGTCGGATGAGGAGAGAAAAGATTTTGGCATCAGCATCATCCAGAGATTCCTCATGAGGCAGGTCTGACAACTAGCACAGATTACACCATGAAACTTCTCCAGTTAATTACTTACATTAAGGCAATGATTTTTTGTATTACAAGCTGTCTGAAAAGTTATTTTTAAATATGACAATGAGGTAATAGCTCAATAAATATGCAACAATTGGCATAAATGTCTACAACATAAAGTAAAATGACCACTTAAATATGTATACAGAACATTTTCTTTCCACTAATTTCAAGGAAGTTATGAAAGTAGAATACCCCAAAAACCTCAAATTGGACTAGTGCATTGAAATACTGTTTTTGTCTTAACTAATTGTAGCAGCAATAACAGCTGCTATTTCAAAATCTGTTTTAACATGTTCATCCATGTTTCTGCAGTCCGGTCAGTGTGTGCCCATTGTGTCGAAGCATGAAGAAAGCTGCATCCAGAGTCTGGAGGCTGACCCCTGCACTGACGTCTTTCACGCCTGCAGGGAGTAAGTTCACACCTCTTATGTCCAGTCATATGTATGTTTGAAAGGAATAATAACTCATCTGTGTCCTGGATTAGAGACCTACATAAACACCTCGGTGGAGAGTCCTTCAATCAGTACCAGGACAGCATGTTCTTTGACCGCTTTCTGCAGTGGAAGATGTTGGAGAGGTCAGTACGCGTGTCGTTTCTGCTTGCACTGATACGCTCTCCCTCAAACACCTCAAACACCTTAGCTATGTGCCATGTTTATCTCTAAGAGTTCTTCAGAAAATATATTTAAAATGAAGCAACCTGTTTTTCTCTTCCAGGCAGCCTATCACCAAGCAGTGCTTTAGGCAGTACAGGCTGCTGGGGAAAGGAGGGTTTGGAGAGGTAAGACTGCAGCCACATCACCCATGGCTAATCCTCTGAACCCTGAAGTTTTGTTTTGTTTTACACAGCTGTTACAAATACTAGGGTGAAAAAAGATAGTTCTACATATTATAGATAATTAATTATTTACATTTTTATACCCTTTACAAACTTTTCCCTACTACCCTGCATGTCAACTATAGAGAGATATTTCACCATGCTGAATGTATCTTCCAACCACTTGCTCCTCTGTACACTGTTTTTGAATTATACATTTATTTTATTGATCCAGCATGTTTTGTTTTCCTCTCAGTCTTTCTTGTTGCTTACTCACAGAGCTGAGTCACTAATAACTTTACATTTGTCCTGAGGCAAATTCTTAAATCAGACATGTAGAATAGTGATAAAATATCAGTTTTTGGGGTTCTATTTGTTTAGTTTTGTTGATCACATGGCCATTACTGAATTAGGTAATTCTCTCATTCTGATCTAGTATAGAGGCTAGTTGAAAACTGTCAATATGACAATTAAAAGCTTAGTTTAGTTTATTACTTATCTGGTGTACATAGACTATATTTTTGATGTTTTGGCTGACAACCACTCAAAGCAGCCTCGAAGAAGATTTGCTGTGGTATATCTTATGGGGAAAAGTTCACTTATTCAGTAAAACCTCCAGCCTTCTTTCATGGTTCCAACAGTGTTCATGTGTGTGGAAAATTAATCTAACTACAAACACTCACCAAAGTCAGTAAAATTTAATTTCATTATCTATCCAGTAGCATTATGGGAAATGTAGGTTCCCGTGTTTTTGAAACATGACCCACACTAAAGAATAACTGAGGATATTTTAGCCTCCATTGCTTTGATTTTTTTCTACCTGAGTGTGACCCTAAATCACTGCTAGACTGCTGTACGACAGCGATCCACAGTGTGTTTGTCTGAGCAACTTCATTATCTCATGTTGGGAAACTGCTACTTTCAAACACCTCATTACTTTCTAAAACTGATAGCAGTCTGACAGACAAGTCTGCCACAACAATCCCTTTGTCATTTGATCCAGCTGCGCTGTGTCTCCAGGTGTGGGCTTGCCAGGTGCGAGCCACAGGAATGATGTACGCCTGCAAGAAGCTGGAGAAAACCCATGTGAAGAAGAGGCGAGGAGAGGCCATGGCTCTCAATGAGAAACAGATACTGGAAGGGCTGGACAGCCGGTTTGTGGTGAGATCACTGCTATTCAGCTTTCCGCCTGCTTTCTTCTTAAAAAGTTACACATGAAGGGATACATCTGGTATCTTTTCTCAAAGTAATTCAAAAAAATAAAATCTAAGAATTGATCCTGCAAACAAAGTTAACTGTCTTTATAACTGAAGCTTTCATATTCCTCTGGGATACAGAGCATTTTTGTTGCCCATAAACGTTAAAAAACATACTGATGAGCCACACTGCTGTACTGGTTCACATGTTGCTTTATTATTGTGTAACACACAATGTAGTTTATTTTGACTCAAGCCCATAAACACCATCCTACTGCCTCTTTAAAGCAAAAAAGGTAGATCAAGCCACCGCTGAAAGCAGTCCCCAACAAATGCACAATTTCCTTTGTTTGACTAACATCTCTTAAAAATAAAAATAAAATTGCAATTTGTTAATAGCTGCTTCTGTGGATGCCCAACAGATGATGATTAACAATCAAAACTATATCTTCATAGGAAAAATGAAACTGAAACCAATGCTACAAATGCCCTTATATCTGTTTGCAGCTACATTACAATGTGCTATAAAGGTATTTAATAAATGTTGTACTGCTTACAAATGATAAGTAGTATTTTTAGAGTTTTTCCCCAAATGTGTATGAATCCACATCTGAAATTAATCCCCACTTTTTTCTGTTTGCTTGAAAAGTGTAATGGGCAGCTGTTTTAGGAAAGTCCTAATTTAAGAAAAAACAACATACTATATATTCATAACCACCAGTGACACTGGTGTTGGGAAATCTGAAAAATGTGGACTCACACATGTGTCATTATACAAGATTTGTTGGCAACGACAGAATATTAAACTGGGGTGTTATACTTTTGGTATTTAAGTAAAACATAAAGAAAGGTAGATAGGTAGATAGATAGATAGATAGATAGATAGATAGATAGATAGATAGATAGATAGATAGATAGATAGATAGATAGATAGATAGATANAGATAGATAGATAGATAGATAGATAGATAGATAGATAGATAGATAGATAGATAGATAGATAGATAGATAGATAGATAGATAGAACTTTATTGATCCCTTTGGTAGGTTACCTCAGGGAAATTGTTATACAAGTACAACACAACACCAACACAACATTAGTAATAATAATAATAACAATAACAATAACAATAACAATAACAATAACAATAACAACAATGGATACAGTAACAAAATTGCCAAAGTGCCAAAATATTGCATACAGCTCGGTGATAGAGCATGATGCTCTATCTCACCCCAATGTCCTCACTCCTCACCACTTGAATATTTGCTACTACCACCAAGATCTGCACCCACGGCGGCTCCACCCAGGCCCGCGCCACAGGCTTCCACCTCTCCCTGCTTGCTGCTCCTCCCCCTCCCCCTCGAGCTCAGAGTTGAACTGTTGAACAAATTGATCCTGCCTTACTGTGCACAATTGTTAGGAAGCTTCTACAGTTTCTTTACTTTTTTATTATTATTGTTCAATTTATTTTATTTTGTTTATTTTTTATGTCAATGTGGGTGTGTCCTTATATGTAGTATAACGCAGTTTTACTGCCATAAATCATGCGAAAAAATAAATAAATAAAAGTTGATTTTCTTGTATTATTTATTTTAGAACAAATTAAAAGATGCTGGAAAAAATTCTGGCTCTACATACTACAGACATTTAATTATTTACATTTTTGCAAACTCTACAAACTTTTTCATTTTACTATGCACATCACCACTCAAAAATGTTTCACCATGCTAAATGTATCTTTCCACAATTTGTTCCTCTGCATACTGTTTTCAAGCCATGCTACATTTATTTTATTCTTCTGCTATGTTTTATTTTCCTCCTCAAAGTGCATTGTAAAGCTAATATTTTACATCTCTCATGTACGTTAGTGAGGTGTCAACATCTGAAAATGCAGAGCTTTAGTGTTAGATTTCACGGGTATTTCTAGTAAAGAGCTCAATGATTTTACTTCTCCATGTAGGTGAATCTGGTGTATGCTTATGAGACCAAGCACGCTCTCTGTATGGTTTTGACTATGATGAGTGGCGGTGACCTGAGGTTTCACATATATAACATCGGCGAGCCTGGCCTGGACAGAAAGAGAGTGCGGTTCTATGCTGCAGAAGTCTGCTGCGGTTTAATTCACCTCCATAGAATGTCAATATTGTACAGGTGAGTGCTTTTCTTCATGCACTGAGTCTCACTGAGGCATGGAGATAGTAACTCAAATACTGTGCTTTATCTTTCAGAGATCTGAAACCAGAAAACATTCTCTTGGATGACAACGGTATGTACAACTACAGGAAGCACCTGCCGTTATTGCCTGCACAGTAAATAACTTCTAGTGTACTATTATAACCTGTGGTTTAGCCACCACCTTTTGCCTATTTTTAGCTTGGAAATTAACTCTGAATGATTCAGGTGATAACCTATTTGTGCAGCTGTGGCTCAGATGCTAGGGTAGGTTATCTTCTAATCGCAAGGTTGGCAGTTTGATCCCTCACCCCTCCACAGTCAAAGTGTCTTTAGGCAAGACACTGAATCTGAAGCTGCTCCCAATGGCAGGCAGCACCTTGCATGGCAGCTGTCTTGCCATTGGTGTATGAATGTGTACGTGAATGGGTGAATGAGAAAACACTGTAAAGCGCTTTGAGTACCACTAAGGTAGAATGCACTATGTAAGTGCAGACCATGTACCATAGCAGCACGAGTTCTACCAGGAAATCACTGTAGCCACTTAGATTCATTCTCCAGATGCATGTTCTGGAGAAGGAAATGTTGAGCGTATTTTGACATGGGTGCAGTGCCTATAAATAGCATTCACCTTCTTTAAAATTTTTCCCTTTTGATAGCTTTTAAAAATTAGATCAGGGTCAATTTAACTTGCCTTTTGTAACAGGAATTTACAAAAATGACTTTTTTATGTCAAAGTAAAAACACATTTGTACAAGAAATAATTACAAAAAAATATAGTGATTGCATAAGTATTTACCCCCTTCAAGTCAGTATTTGGTGATGCACTTTTGGCCACAATTAGAGCATTGAGCCTGGGTGAATAGGTCTCTATCAGCCTCACACATCTGGATACTGTAGTGTTATCCTCATTCTTCTTTGCAAAAACTGATCAAGCTCTGTCAGGTTACATGAGGATTGTGAGTAAACAGCCCATTTCAAGTCCAGTCATAAATTCCCAACTGGATTGAGGTCTAGGCTCTGATTCAGTTACTTCAGGCTATTCACCTTGTTGGCTGTGTGTTTCAGGTCATTGTCTTGCTGCAAAACAAATCTCCTCCCAAGTTGTAGTTCTCTTGCCGATTGCATCAGGTTGTCCTCAGATATTTTCCTATACTTAGCTGCATTCTTTTATGCTCTATATTTAGAAGCCTTTCAGAGCCTGCTGCCAAGAAGTATCACCACATCATGATGCTGCCACCACCATGCTTCACAGCGAGTTTGGTGTGTTTGTCATGATGTGCAGTGTTTGGTGTCTGCCAAACATAGTGTCTAGTCTGATTACCCAAAAGCTTAATTTTGGCCTATTCAGATCAAAGAACCTTCTTCCAGATATAATATGAGATTTTCTTTTGTAACAGTGGCTTTCTCTGTCCTACTCTCCCATAAAGTTTTCACTGGTGAAGAACAATTGCTGTACACACACTCTCCCCCATCTCTTCCGCTGAGCTTGTAACTCTTTCAAAGGAGTCATAAGTGTCTTGGTGTCTTGTATGGTCACTCAGTTTTTGAGGACAGCCTGCTCTCTGCAGATTTACATGTGTGTTCATATTCCTTCCATTTCTTAATGATGGATTGAATTGTAATCTAAGGCAGCGGTCTCCAACCTTTTTTGCACCACGGACCGGTTTTAAGCAAGAAATTTTTCTACGGACCGGTCATTACGCACATAACAAATATTATTTTATTTTTTTTCTATTGAAAAGTTTCATAAATGAAAAAAAATATTTTTTATTGTTTAATATGTTTACTTTTTCTCTCTCTCAGTATTAAGTCTCTCCCACTTTCCAAAGCAGCTCTCCTGAGACGTTTGTTTTTGACTGACGGCTTCGTTTAGCAGCCGGGCATAAAAACTGACAGTCAAGTGCGGGAAACGAGCACAAACGGAAGTGACGGGAAGACGAGCTAGTCGTTTTTCAAAATAAAACACCCTGCAGACTCCGCTGGAAATAAAAATAAACCAATAAAACGTTTTTTTTCTTTCTGTGCGGCCCGGTACCAAATGACCCACGGCCCGGTGGTTGGGGACCACTGATCTAAGGGACAATCAGTGTCTTGGAAATATTTTCGTACCCATCCTCTGACCTATGCTTTTCAATAACTTTTTACCAGTATTGTTTTGAGTGTTCTTTTGTGATTGTGGTGTAGTTATATCCAGGAGTACTGATTCACCGCTGACTAGACCTTCCAGATGCAGGTGTCTTTATACTACAATCACTGAGATACATTCATTTATTTCTATTTTACTAGTTGTGTGACTTTTGCATCAGTGGGCTGTACTTGTGTTGAATTAGGGGAGGCCCTTAAAAGGGAGTGAAAATGCATGACATGGAAGAGTCTATTTTGTACATTGTTGTCAAAAAAAAGGAAAATTAAAAAGATAATTCGATTTTGAAAACTTCCAAAGGCAGTGAATACTATTTATAGGTACAAATAGACTGTTTGAGGAAGTAAAAAGCCTGTAGGAATCAGGTAGTGTTACCTGTTTTGAGTCACCTTCGCACCTGCATCTGGTTCCAAGAACCTCTCCTGCATCAGACCTTGGCACAACAGCAGCGCAGGGAAGAGGAACTTGATTCAGGGAAAGTGAAAGTACGTCAGCGCAGCAAAAGAAAAAAAGTCCCAACCTGGAAACCAGTTCAGTTGATTTTCTTTCTTTTTTTTGTATACCCCAAAGGACATATCCGCATCTCTGACCTGGGTTTGGCTGTGAAGCTGTCTGAGGGGATTCTGGTCAGAGGCAGGGTGGGAACACTGGGATACATGGGTATGTACACACTGGTATACAGGGAACTCAGTTAAAGTCTTTCTGAATTCACTGACTACATTTAAGACTTTAATAGTAATTCTACTGATATAATTAGGGTCTACACATGCAAACAAACAAAGAGTAGCAAAGAAACAAGTAAATGTGTGTTGTTGTTTTTTTCTTTCCATTGATCTGAAAGAACACTAGTTATGGAGGCAAAATACTACACAATCTCAAAATTGATCAGTGCATGAAAAAGCTATATTTTTGCCTGTGCAGTAGCATCGCAGCCAGCACATGATACATTTACCAAGGTGTAGCTGCACAGCAAACACAGAGTTTATCACTAATTTGCATCCTGATTTCAGCTCCTGAGGTGATCAACCTTGAGCGTTACGGGATGAGCGCAGACTGGTGGGGCCTCGGCTGTCTGATCTACGAAATGACTGCTGGGCAGCCTCCGTTCAGGGCCAAAGGAGAGCATCCAAAACCCCCAGAGATGGAGAGAAGAATCCTGAAAGAACAGGAGGAATATAGTAACAAGTTTAGCCCGAATATGAAGGACCTCTGCTCTTTGGTAAGTTGTTGGAAACAACCAGAAACGACTTATGGGCAGCTTTCATGAGTTAAAATGCACCTTTTTTTTAAAGCATACATTTGTATAATTCATAGCCGGAAAACGCACAGCTGAAACAAGCTGTGTTTGTGCAGTTGATGTAATGTTATTAATGACACATGTTTGCCTTGCTACAAAATGTGACCTTTGTTGTTCCATCCTTCAAGCAATTCACAAGTTTTCTTACTGGTCGTGTAGCGGCTGACCAAGGATCCAAAACAGACATAGCCAGACCTTAGATTGAATTGGTATATAAGAAAATCAGGCTGGTTATCATCGTTGCCTTGCAACTAGAAGGTTGCCGGTTCGCATCCTATTGAGGACACTTGGAATCTTTCTGCGTGGAGTTTGCATGTTCTCCTTGTGCAGCGTGGGGGTTCTCTCTGGGTTCTCTGGCTTCCTCCCACACAGTCCAAAAACATGTTGAGGTTAATTGGTGATTCTAAATTGTCTGTAGGTGTGAACGTGAGTATGCATAGTTGTCTGTCTCTATTTGTAGCCTTGCGATAGACTGGCGACCTGTCCAGGGTGTCTCCTGCCTTCGCCCTAAGTCAGCTGGAATAGGCTCCAGCCCCCCCGCGACCCTAGAGAGGATTAAGCGGTGTATAGATAATGGATGGATGGATGGATGGATGGATGGATGGATATAAGAAAAGCTTACATTTCTGTCAACTTTCTGTCAAGTTTTGCTTTTCTTGTGACATACTGGGTAATTTACTTTTTAAATCCTTCTAATATGAGACTTGAAAGAAGAAATATCTGCTCATATTTCTTTTTATCATAAAGGTTCATACCTCTGATGAGGAGTCATATTAGCCTTCCTAAAAAAAAATAATAAACAAATGATGGAACAAACAGCTGTTCATCAGGAGTAATTTTGCACAAATTGAGAAGCAAACGTTTTCTGGTTTCACTTTGCCCTCTGGGTCCAGTTGTAAAATGAAATATCTTTGTTTTGGATTGTTGGTTAAACTAAACAAAACTGTTATAGATGTCACTTTGAGCTTGTGGTGGAAATATTTTATAGACAAAACAATTAAACAAGGGGAAAAAATAGTTTGACTTTTTTTTGTATAACTCTTTGGATGTTTCATCACAGGAAAAAGCAGAGCAGAACAAACTGTGATTGAATGCTGTCAATTACACATTTTTCGTGCCACAAAATGCTGAACTGTGCTTGAAGGAATGAACACATTTTGTTTATTGCAGCTGTTGAGCAAGGACCCGAAAGAGAGGCTGGGCTGCCAGGGCTCAGGTGGCAGAGAGATTCAGTCTCACTCTTTCTTCAAGAAGATAAACTTCCGGATGCTGGAGGCAGGACTTGTTGAGGCTCCATTTAAACCTGATGCAAGTACCTGTAATGACTTACATGATTTGGTGTAGACAAAGAAAGATATAAAAACTAGTACACAAGCTCACTGGTGGAATTTACTCTCATTTGTTCTTGCTCCTTTAGCCCAGACTGGTGTACTGCAGCGACGTGCAGGACATCGAAGAGTTTTCCTCAGTGAAGGGCGTCACACTGGACCAGACAGACAGCAACTTCTACACCAAATTCAACACAGGGAAGGTTCCCGTAAATTGGCAAAATGAGGCAAGTTTGTTCTGCTGTTCAGTAGTATTGTCACAAAACCAAATTCTACCATCAATATGATGCCTGCCTCAATATGCAGACACTGAAATTATAGCACAGTAAAAACCTAACACATAAAGAAACATAATAGAATGACAGATGCAAGACAGAGGCCATAAAACAATATGAGTGAATTACTGAACCACGGTGGGTTTATATGATCATAACTGCAAGAACTCTTCACTGAGATCATTCTTTACACATTCATGACTTTCCACCATCACACATCACACTGCTGCTAATAAAACCTTCAGTCCCTGCAGACATCAGCTGAGCAGCACTTCAGTGCACATTTTAATGATCCACTTTCACTCTTTCTGCAGGAAATTATTTTTGTATATGCCTGATTTTTTTGCAGTTTGCAGGGATGTCCATTACAGCTGAATGATTTTTGGAAAATATCTGTTTTGTGATTTTTTTTTTTTTTTTTTGGGACAGATATTACCATTTGTTCTTACAGTCTCTTGTTTTTCCACCATAAAAGTTGCTGCAGCTTGTATATAGGAGAAAAATGCTGGTAAAATGAGAAATGGTATTACTTTAATTGGCAGGGTATTGCGATACCATGCAACATGACTGTCAAGACAGGAACTAAAAAACCTCACAGCCTTTTTCCATCTCTCATGCAGATAATAGAAACGGGCTGTTTTAGGGAGCTAAATATTTTTGGCCCTGTGGGATCTCGCTCTCCAGACCTGGACTGGACCCAGGTCCCCATAGTCCCCAAAGTCCCCAAACGCCGCCTGCTGGACCGACTTTTCCGCAGACATGTAAGGACTCAGTCTACAGTCTCTGAAAGTGAGAGTGTGATTATATGACACATGAATATTTATTTCCTCTAACAGCACTCTACGGATTCATCGGACGAAAGCAGAGAGAGCTTGGTGTCCAATAAGAGCTACACCAGGTCAGGACTCCTCACTTCTACGCTCTGAGGACAATCTCAGAACAGACTGCTTTAAAGACAAAAACACAGCCATCCAGTGTAGCAGCACAGGACCTCTCGCCCTGTAAATCAAAGCACAGCATTTCTTTCTTTATGTTTGTACTGTTTTCCCCCACACTCACAGTTACATTATATTAGCACCAGCTTCTTCATCCGCTCTCAGGTAAAACTGATGTATAATTTTACCGTCTGTTACGCACAAAAGCAATGCATCATTTTAAAAACAGAATGTGCCATTTTTTATGTACTCAAATCTTGATGCAAAGAGGATGGCTCTTTTAAACTGATTTAAACAGTTGTACTGTTTTAGATGAAACAGCTGAGCCTCAAATAAACCATATTTTTTATTGCAGTGGTTCTCATCTATGTTTTATGTGGATTTAAGTAATTAAACAGGAAAAGCATAAATGACATTATGCTCGTTTCTTGTGACATACTGACTACTTTACTCAGTGAGGTGTCTGAAAAACCTTCAAATGTGACAAAACTGATCATAATTCTTGTTATGACAAAAGCCATAACCTGTGATAAGGAGTCGCATGTTGGCCTTGATTAAACTAATCAAACAATGAGTTGTTTAGCTGTTCATCTGCAAAAGTTTGGAAGGAAATGGCACATTTTTGTTGTTACATTGTTTCATTCTGTTTTGTTATTGTTGTTTTGAAAGTAAATTAAAAATCTTTTGGATTATTGGTCAAAGAAAGGAGTTTACAGACTGGTAATGGACATTTATAAATATTTCCTGACATTTTATAGAAAAGAAAAAAAAAAACATTAAGAAGAAAAATCAACCAAGCATACTTAAGCTAAAAGTTTACAACAGAGGTCTGAAATTGGCATCATCCAAATCCAAATCTGACGTGCATACATTTTCAAAAAAAAAAGAGACACTCCAGAGTTGAAACGACAGAAGAACAATAAGACATCATAAAAAATGCTTAACACAAAAAATACAAAAGCTGCAGCAGGAAAGAACAGGAATAAAAAGTCAAATTCTGACCATTTGCAGGTGTGCATTTGCAATTTCACTGTGGAAACTGGTGCAGAATGCAAACATCAAATTCTGTCAAAGTAATCAAACCTTCATGTGGAGGATCATCAGTGGTAACAAGACATGGGTCTGCGGCTGACACCAAGACTCAGATTTCACAGGGGGAATCTTGAAGACTGGAGGAGCATCAGGTCAGGAGCATGCTTGTCGTTATCTTTACTATGACAGCGTTGTCCGCAGTGAATTTGTCCTTGGGGTCAGGCTCTCAACCCTCACTGCAACTTCTTCCTCAAAATGAAATTCCACTGGTAAGGCTGCTTTTTTTTTGACAGTTTAGGCAATTCAAAAAATCCGTTCTGGAATGCGCCGCTAGGTGGCAGCAACTTGTAACAGCTCCCTTTGCTTTTGAGTTTTTTTTTTCATATATTGTTGTCTTTTTACTTACATTACCTGTCAGATTAGGTTTTTCTTGGATATTTTTTTATGCTGAGTTGAAATCTCTGCAACTCAGGAGATTTTTCTACATATATTTAGCCTTTTTCACAAGTTGTTATGATGAGTATCCATGGCAACAGAAAAAATTGTCTACAACCGTGATCAACTGTTAAAACTCTCCCAAATCAAAATTTTCAGCCAAATAATACATCAAATCCCATTAGAGTTAAAGAGGAAGAGAAGAGGTTGCAGAGCAGGGGTAAGGCAGAGAGAAAAACAGTGGAGATTTAAACCGTTTCTTCCAACTGTTGTGATGGGTAACGTAAGATCGCTAGCTAACAAGATGGAC